TCCATAATACGGGAAGTCCTCCTAGGGGCATTCCCTGAATCACTTCAAACTCTGCTGGGAATTTTTCTTTTGCCTGACAGAGGCGTTCAAACACTTCATTAATTGAAGTTCCCTATTTTTCCTATGAGTGCATTCTTTTGAGATGAAAGACATGGTTTTGATCTAGTAAAAGATACTCTGTCCTGAAGAAAAAAAAAAAAAGCAAATGTTACCCTCAACAAATTTTTAATGAACGCACACTGAGAAAACCTTAGTTGTAAAACATTCATTTCACTTGTTGCCTACAGCCTTTTCTGAATCAGTACTGTGTTGACAACAACAGCACACTGACTACAACTATAAACTACTGTCTCACAGACAAAAGTAAAACAGTACTTCTCCATCTGTGTTCTGCTTTGTGTAGAAGTTGTATTTATTTCAGGCTTAGAGAAACTTGTGACGTGTTATTCACATACACATTTTATCTGAATCAAATTTGATCTTCTACCTTTTTTTGGTAAAATTTTAGATTCATAACATACCCATGACCAGTATTTCTCTGAGTTTTTCTTCTCAACATCAATGCGAATGGCATCTGCAATTGCTCAGAACAAAGGAGATTTTGCTAGATGCCTGCTTCATTTCAGAGAGGATTCAAATTAAGTTCACCCTTAATACCAACAGGCTGTGCCAAAGAGTGCCTTTCCCCATAACCAGCCCAGTGGCTAGCATGTCCACAGGGAGCAAGCTTCACAGGTTATTCTTTCTCATCCACAACTAGCACGTATCCTAACCGCCATGGTGACTAACAGGCTGAGGTCCTTTCCCTTTCTTGCCTTTTAAGAGAGGATACACATGCTCTGAGCTCATAAAATTCAACACTGTATGTGAGGGTTTCTTGTGCAATCCTGTCCAGGATTAGTCAGAGCCTAGAGAGAGAGGGAATTACGCATACTTCCAGCTAAGGAGCATTGTTTTCATACATGTGCTTTTGGACTGTGTACACAATCTATTCCGTTTCAGCATTCTCTTTATTATTTCATTAAAAAAAATAGATTTGGGCCTGAAAAATACACTGGTATTTTATCGAATCAGTTGGGATCCCCAGACTCTGCTAGCATTTGATAGATTACATTGGGCTGGAGAGCATACAAGTATATAGGGTCAAAAAAGGATATTGTGAAAGACAGTTGCGCTTAGATTGCTTAAAACAGAGAACTACAGGAAACCTGTCGTACTTACACCCATCTTAAGAGACAGGCCTTATTGGAGGGAATTCATTTAGGGAAACTTTAAAGGTGTGATAGAGAAACCTAGGCTCAGTTATGAAACAGGTACGGACAATAGAGGCTGAGCAGCCATAGCCCAGTGTGGTGGTTCTCAATCACCTGTCTGCTGAGCTGTGAAGCAGGAGTGATACAGTTTCTATTTCACGGTTATAAATTAACCGGCAAAAGTGAAAGAAAAATCAAAGCTGAGGGTGAAAGGGTGGGATCAAAATAATATATAAATAACAAGAAAGATTGAATGGTAGAGCTTTTATTGCTTGCTAATGGATTTAACAAACCCAAATATGTGACACATTAGAGCATCCATGTTGCTTAACTGTAAAACCATACATTTCCCAAAAGCTAGGCAAAGCCACTATAGCTATATAGCGCTATCCTGGTCTTTTCTTGTAAAGCAATTAAATTGCACAAAGAAAAAAATGTTACCCATAGAAAACTAAACTTATTCAGAGAACTAGGCATCAACCAGGGGAAGAATTTACTGTAGTCTCCTAAAGGATTGATCTCTGAAACCAAATCCAAATTTCACTTTAGCATTCCTGTCTTGTTAAAACTACTTTATAAGGTGTTATTGTGACCAACTGATGATGTCATGCGCAGCAACACTCGAGGAAAAACAAGCAATTGCTTAAGAAGATTTTTATGACAGTCTGTGTATCAGAGTTACATATGATGATAATACACTGTAATTACTGCACGCTTTCTAGAAATCCTCAGTTGTCAGTAAACACTGACCAAGGTCTGACAATACAGAGAAGATACCAGAAGGCAAGCACTCCCACTCTGCTCAGCCTGATGGTATTCTCATGGACAACAGCAATCTTCAGATTGGACCACGCTCAACTGCTTGCTTTAATAGGGTTCAGCCTATCTTTTCACAATTTGCCTTCTCTCAACTTTCCACCACTCTAGCCATTACACCTTGTGATTTTGTAATTTGTTCTCTCTCTAACATTTTTGTCTGAAAATCATTTGCCTTTGCATCTGACACTTCCCGAAGAACTCACAGCTTTACCACATATCCATAGGGAAAGACAGTAGCAGACATAGCTGCTTTTAATCAGTCTTAAATTATCTAGGAAAGGTAAAGGTCACAATCCAGAAAATAAAGAAGGAATTACTTACCTCCTTCTGAGGACCAAGGCTCACCAAAAACTCCAGAGAGATCACCAAGGAGAACACCTTCCATCCCAGGCCAGCCCCTAAATGAGGCGAGGGGAGCTGGGGCCTGACTCCACCCCTCCTGGTCGCACACATGAATTATTTCCACCTGTGTTCCCAGGGCTGGCTATGCCCCTTTCCCAGGTGCTCAATCACTGGTTCAGACCTTAGCCTAACAGTTCCAATACAGGATCTCACAGAATGGTTTGGAAGAGGTGACCATAAAGCCCACCCAGCCCCAATTCCCTTTTATGGGCAGGTCTGCCCACCCCCAGGGCCAGAACCCCATCCAACCTGGCCCTGAGCACCTGCAGGGATGGGGCACCACAGCTGCTCTGGGCAGCTGTGCCAGGGCCTCACCGCCTTCTGAGTAAAGAATTTCTCCCAGACATCTAACTTAAATCTCCACTCTTTTTGTTCAATGCCAAATGCCATTACTCCTTGTCCTGTCACTGTTAGGTCGTGTAAAAAACTGGTCCACCTCCTGCTTATAAGTTCCTTTCAAGTACTGGATCTGTTTCATTTAAAACTGTAGTTTCTAGTGCATGAACTACTGCTGCTAGTCAACTATTGAGCAAATTCCTGTTTTAATGCTGACATGTTTTTCACAGCCAGCACTGTTGATTTCTTTGTAGTACTGTACATATGGCATCTCTCTTTATTTGATATGTCTATGCTCTCACTGGAACTACTAGCAAAAACACCTGTGCATCATTTTTTCCTACAATTGCACTGTGCTTCATTTCAGCAGTTTGCTCATTGCTTTTGTCTCATGATGAAGCCACTTTTGGCAACTAGTATTTACTGCAAGTCTACACCAGCTATTCCCAATCTCTAATGCATCTGAAGACCACTGTCAGTAACCTGAATATTATGACTGTAATCCTAACCATATGACCAAGAGACAGCTCTTGATCAGACAAATACCCAGCTTTCCAGTGCAATAGTTGCCATGAACACACAATGACTTTTGAAAATACCTGATAGAGTAAAATTTTGCTCTAAATAATAGAGAATGCATTTGTCAAAAAGTAATTTATTGCTCTAACAATATTTCTTTCTTTGGAAGAGAGAAAAAGTTGCAGTGAGAATTGGAGATAGGTTACGTGGAAACATCAGTAATCAGACATGGTCAACAATCAACAGAAACAAAGAATCTCAGATTAGAAAATAAGAATAATTTAATCTTGTTGTTTCATTGTTTTGTTCTGCCATTGTCTTTTTTCCCTTACAGAGAAGAGTTTTCTTTTTCAGAAATTTAAGAACTGTGGTGTTGCCAGTAAACGTGACTCTGGGGGAACAGTTCCAGATAGAAGAGGCTAACATACAAACACCTTAATGTCATTCCTTATTGTCCCAGATCATGAGAGCCTTCAAAGAACGGGGAAGAATAGCTGTGTGCTTTCCAAGAAATTCCCTGTATGTAAAGAAAAAGGGATCAGCGATGTTTCCCCAAGGGGAAAGTCTTCTTTCCACTGCAGTTCCATGAGTGTGTGAAGAAAGAAATAGGAAGGGGGGCTGGAGGAGTACACAGAATCCTTATGGCATAATGTGCTTCGGGCACCAAAAAGCCAGAATCTGTCCCTTGAATCTAGCCTTTGAATTAATATCTGTAACTTTTACCAGAAAAACTGAAATATTTGCAGTAGCCACTTTTGCACATTTAGCTATTAAAATCCGTGACAAAAAAAATACAAGCAAGTTGCACCAAATGTTTCCGCAACATGTAACAGGCATTCCTGAAAGAGAGCATCATCTTGATATACACAGGTTTATAGAATTTTTTTCACTTTTTCCACTGTGTTTCCACAACACTGAATATATTTTCTGGATATCTGGAAGTCTTAAATAGACTTCAGAAATTATGTTGTTGCATGTACTATGTGGATGAAAATAAATATCTGTGTCTTCATTGTTTTCCTTCAACAAAACCAAAACCAAACTGATTAGATTTATTAATAAATGCAATAAAGCATTTAATTCAGGTAACTCAATTTTCCTACAGCAAGAATACCTTACACCTACAGCAAGCACCTTACACTACAATTGCAAATTGTAACGTAAGACACATCTATTCAATTATTATCAACTTGTCTATGGAAAACTCTTATTTATGTACACATGACAACTAGCTCACAGACAAATGCCAACAGAAGAGAATTATCTTGGTTTGTTTGGCAGGGTCGAGTGTTCTTTTTGTAATAATGGCTTTCCTCATGTTAATAAAACAGAACTTTCCTGGCAACTCATATGCCTATAATTCATCAGACCTGCAGCCTGGTAATCTTTAATGGTTATCCAGGGGTTGAAATTAAAGGAAAATGATTTCTGCGCCATTGAAACAACACAAATTTGTGGTCTGTGCTACAGCTTTCTTGGAAACACTCCAAAAACTAGACAAACATTAATTACATTTCATTTTGCTAACTAGAGTTAATAGCTGAGAGGTGCCTGGAACAATTAGCTAAATTCAAAATCATTTAGGACAGCAAACTCAGAGTTGTTTGATCCTAGGATAAACATTAGTTTGTCATGTCGTATATGCCAAACAAACCACAATTGAGAAATATGTCACTGTTTATTTCTTTATTTATTTATTAATTTACTGCAACACAACAGCTTCTTTGGAAACTGCAATGCTGAGCGTGATGTTATGTTTCTCAGACCGAGGCAGCATTCTGATTGACTGATGATCATTTTAATACGGAGCTTTAATCTAGTTTAACCGCAGGGCTCAACCAAAGCAGATGTTCAGTGTGTTTCTGAACTGACAGCCCTATCTCAGCAAAAACATATACACTTCTGCTCTACTCCTAGGATCCCCACAAACAGCAGTTTAGGACAACCAACCCAAGCTGTGGCTAGGACATGGCTGCACTCTTAACAGCAATTAAATACAGTTCCTGATCAGGGCTTTCAAAATCCCACACTCAGGCATTTTGTTATGAACAAACATCTGTCCATGTCTCAATAACAAAGAAAGATAAAGTGCTTTTGACAGATCTTTGCCCTTTGGTCATACTTTGCTTTTCACTAGTGTCTTTCATTTACTCCTCTTTGAAGACTATTTGCGTAGGCCTTTAACAGGATGTCAAAAGCAGATTCACTGATAATGGAGGAAAGTGCTCCCCTACTTTGAATACAGCTTTTAGAGCACAGTGGGAAAACTGGAAACCTATAACACACAAGTATACATACTCCATTACAACAGACCAATGCTGATAAACTGCTATCTCTCCACTCTCAGTTCTTTCACCACAAGCTTTCTTTCCTCATTGATCATAGGAAACAGTTTGGAACTTGAAACTTCACCTTGCACTACATCATCTGAATCAAGAAAAGCAAGGGACTGCTCAACTTCTGATTTTCTTCCAGTGATACAGCAGTGATGTAAAGGCTGACACTCCATCTTTTGCTTGTAGGCTGTACAGGAACAATGCGAGTTCAGTACTGTTAAAAAGAAGAGTGACGTCAAGCACATAATTGGTTCTTTAACAGTGTGAGACAGTATATAAAAACAACATGCTGAAATCAATTCCAAAATTAATTTGGGATACTATTCTTAAATACCTCCTGCAAAACACCTTACAATTTTACTTCCTTCTGGCATAAAGAGGAACTGAGGGAATACATCAGTTTGCACCTTCCAGAAGACTCTACAAGGAGTGGACTTAATTTATAGTGATGTCGTTCGAGGTCACAAAGAACTTGTTAAATAGACAGGGAGGGATCCTGACATACACAACAATGGGGAAGCAATATGGATACTGTGCTATAGTCTCCTTCATGCATTCTGTATGCAGAGCAGGAGCAGGGAGAATCCATTTGAGATTAAGTTATTCTTTTCCTATTAGAGCCTTAATCACATTCCAGCAACCATCCTCCTGGCTCTTGGAAGTGTTTGAGAGGAAAAAAAACAAACAAGACATTGGCACAAAAAATTCTGGAGTAATTTGTAGACAGAGGCCAGCCAGAGTAAATTGATTGTCTTATTTAGCCCCTAAAAATGAATAATTTCTTTGCTGAAAGAGTCCCAATGGTTGCTCTCCTAATATATATCTACAGACATATCCAGAAAAAAAGACTTTTTATGCAAAAAAAACCCCACTGCATATGTTTCATATCTTTTGCCTTTAAGCTACACCACATTTTGTTTTCTCTTTAAGAAGTAAAGCAAATACATAGATTGCTCTGAAAGTAATGCCTCCTTTTTATTTCCATGGGAACTACAGAAGATGCAAAAAGCACAATAGCACTGTTTAATAGAGGAAATTCTCAGCTACAAAACACAATTTTTCAGCGACCTCACTACCATAACTGCATTTTCACCAGCGATAAACAACAACCTTCATGACGCTCTCAGAAAAATATACACCAATGGACATGAACCACTGCTGCTGTCACCACTGGTGAAACACACCAGCAAGCTCACATCCACTATTTGGGCTCCAGAATCATTCAGCAAGCATTGATAAACGTCAGTGGGTGCCATTTTTCCCATATGGAGGAATTGAATTTCACTCTCTTCTACTTCTATATCTGTACTTCTTCTATATCTGTAACACAGCAACAACACGTAATGGAATATTGGTGGGAAGGTTAAGCCTCTACTGCCATAACACCAACATTCATCTCTGAAGTTGTAGGCCAAAGTAATAAAACAGGAAGCATTACTTTTGGAGCAGCCCTTATATTTTGCGGCATCAGAAAGGCTAAAAGTTGTAATCAACCCCATCTGTGAGATGTAATTCTTGGAAGGTAAAGATATTCCCCTTAAAACAGCAAATGAATGGTTTTCCTTGCATACTTTTTTCCCCAAGAGAAGTGATAATAAAACACTTGCACTGGCATGATGCTGAGATTTCTTTCCTGGGATCTGTGAACAATACATTATAAGAAGTCATCCACATGTACTGCAAATGCAGCCTGTTTTTATCACTAAGCTACTACCAAAACATGAATGATAAGCCAGCTTCTTCCATGTATTCCTGACATCTCTCTTTAGAAAAATCAAATTTCCTTAACAATGAAAACTGATATTTTAACCAGAGGTGATTTAGCCTTTGGGAATCCTAGCAACATCCAACTATCTGTAATATTACACTGCTCTGTGGGTTGACAGCTCATATTGGAGCTCCAAGTGACTGAAAATAAAACAACCTCCAAAAGTTCCCTAGCCATAAACAGAAAGAAAGAAAAAAAGCCACCTATCTACATAGGCTGAGGACTATCATTTCCCAATTGAGTAATGATCAGTTTGGCTTCAGAGGTTTAACTAGTCCTGCACAGATGTCCACTCACGCAGCTAAGTAACATAAAAGCTCATACAGTAGCAAAGCAATGTTAGTTCCACGTCTTGAAATTATTATTTTTACTGAGCTGGACCAAGAGACCATGGATGTTAACTCTATAATAGGGATGGAGTGCACTTCTGTCAAGTTGTGAAGTTGTGACATTTGTCTTTTGCATATAGTGCAACACAGAATATAGATAGCTGAGCAGGTTCCAGACAAGCTGACAGGAACAGAACAGAGGAACAGAAGTAGTTTAGACAACACGATGGAGCCCTGAATATGCTAACAGACCTTTATGTTCTGCCAAGGATCTAACTGAGCCTTGGGAGGGCTGACTGTGATGCATCAGGAGGTGCATTAAAGCTGGTTCTGCTATATCCAGCTTACACTTCCACGTGCAACATTCCTTATCACTTTACAACTCTCTGACATTTAACTGATGGGCACCAGCTGAGAGCTTCAAGTCTTGCTTCCCAAGAAGGCAAAAGGAATTTCTGCATCTTCAACTCATATTTTATAGTTTTCAAGCCATCACTAGAGGTAAACGTGTTCCTTGAGAGATGAGAAGCTTTTCAGTGTAACCCCTTTCATATCCTCAGGTATCAAGGGCAGGAACACACCTTTGATCACCACATACAAAACAGCTGACAGTGAGTGTTATTTCCTGTCTGGAAACACAGAGGCTATCACATTAGTTACTAAAAGTTTTAAAGAAGAGAAATTGCAGCCAGACATCAATATGTTCTAGAGAGGGTTTCAGGTAACCAGAAACCCACCTTCACCATCACTGATGTACATACATGTATTAATGCATGGAACTGGAATATAAAAGCTTCAATACAAATGCTCTTATAAGCTGTTGCAAACGGAATTAAAATGCAGGCCATGTCAGAATACTGTCCCAGAAAGCGAAATATATTCTTGAAAGAAAAACAGTCTGTCCAGTATGCCTAGAAAGAACCCCCAGACCTGCTGCTATCTGTTGTGGATGATCATTGCTATCATGCCAGAACAGGTGGCTTTTGACCCATTACCAACAAAATCCCAGAAACTCCACACTTCCTATTGTCATGGCAGTGTCACCGTGGACAGAGAAAGCCCAAATGAATAAATTCTACTTGGTGAATGAATGGGGATGAATAGTACCTTGCTCCATCAAGGTCTTCTTTTCCCAAAAGTGATGGCCTTTTAAAATTTTCTACTCATCTCAGACCTGCCATCTGCTTGAATGAATTAGTCTTTTAAAATAATGTTGATTCATCTACATCAGCAACATTTATTTCATTAATGGCAAGAATTAATTCTTTGTAGAAAGTCAAAGAATGTGGAGCCAAAATATTTTCTCCTTGGTGACCTGGAGACCTTTCTCCTAAGTGACTTGGAGACCCTTGGACAAACTCCTGGGGTGCCATTTAAAATGAATAGTTACACAGCAAAAAAATAGCATTTTAATGTTTATTTAACATAGATATCTTTTCAAAAAAAGGGGGCTTTCGACATTTTTAAACATCTGGTTGCCTTATATTTTAGTTTGTTTCTTCAGCGGTACAAGCAGAACGTCTTCAATTTAGAAAATACGAGTCCACATGGATGCTCTCAGGTTACAAGCAGTGCATAAGAGGAGCAGCTATGTTTAAATACCTTTTAAAATTATTTTAGGATTGACATTAATTTTTAGAGGGCTGGCTTCTACTGTCAGTTACAGTAGTGAGATCACTGAACATAGTCGGGAGATACAGCTATGTACCCCATACTAGTCATTATGGATACTTCTGCACTTCAGGCACGAAAGTATCGTACAAGCCAAAGCACAATGAATTTAAACTCCTAATTAACAGAATTCATTTGCTCTTGTAAGCGGTTAAGATTTTTACCCAGGCACTACTGCAGTGGAGAAGTTACACAGCCACAAGCCTCCCAAAAAAACCACACAAACACACACACAAATACATACATATTGTCTAATGAATGTGGATGTGGCTTCACCTTCTATTCACTGGGTCTTGGTTTGGCTTTTTGGCTAAGTAAAAAATCTTGACAGAAGTCTTTTACCCTTGCAAACAAACTGTAGCCTTGAAATACTCCCATCTGCCTCCTTGCTCTGTTTGGCTCCCGGGCATCAGATTTGAAGCAAGTATAGAAAGACCTCATAGCATCCCTGGAATTACATTCTTTTTTTGTTTTGTTTTGTTATCCTCTTTCCTAACAGACACGCAAAGTTAGTTTGCTTTTCTTATTAAGAGCTCAGCTCCCTATCCGTGATAGTAATTACTTTTCCAATCCTAGATAATTTTTTTCCACCTGCTCATCCAATGCTGTATCCATTCTCCTCAAAACAGCCTAAAAGCTCCCATTAAATTGGATAACTACCACAAACTTCAAAATTCTTAGGATCGCTGATTTCTAGCATTAAGAAGTCTTCCACACAAAGGTCTAAATATAGACCTTAGTGCTTGCGTTTGACAGTGATAAAATGTCTGTTCTTCCAAAAGCATCTTATCAAACAATCCCACCTGGCCAGCAAAAAGGTCCTCCCAGCATAAAGCTTAATTACATCAGGCTATTATTCTAATAACTTCATATTTATTTCCAAACAAAGAGGAAAAGGGTCAAAACTTAGCACTGTGCTAACAATTAGCCTGGCGGCTTTCCTGAAAACAGAAGGTAAAAATATGTTTCTACCCTTGAGATGACAATAACTCTTTCAGAGCTTTTGCACAACGCTTTAAATCCTTGCAACGCGGAGTGATTTTGTCTCCTACTAATTGCCTCAACCTCATCTGTTACAGAAGACTATGAGCAGTTTGTGAGCACATTTAGCTTTATCTACAAAAGGTGAAATTGAATCTAGCTGTCTGACAAGCGCAGTTTTAAATGAAACCGTCCTCATTGGCAACAGTTACTCTATGGCCTTTGCCTAGCTGTATGTGTAAGATTTTCTTTATTTTTGTGCAGAATCAGCGTCACATTAACCTGAGTACAATTTAACAGATTACTTTGTTCATTCTCTTTAAACATAACCTCCCATAGCTTTTTTTTTTCTTTTTTCTTGGAACTACCGCATTGTTTCAGAACTAATATTTACCCTGAATTCCAATAAGATAATTAAAATGAAGTTAAAAATCCATGTCACCCAAAATCCCGAGATCCAAATTT